TCATGCACAAATACGTTATAGCTTTGTTAATAGCTAGTAACTTGAATGCATTTTTAACATTAAACTACTGAGTTTAGCCTCACTTTAAGCTATGTTAGGGCTGCTGGAAGCCTGCACCAAAGTCCCATATGGTCATCCAGAGTCAAAGAGCCACTGAAGTATTTGTTTGAGGCCAAACTCCAAAGATAATATTATAGGGCGAGATGACTCACGTCCGGGACCTTAGACCACTGGAGCGGAGGGGAAGAGGCTCCGGGGACCGGTCTAACAGCAAGCCATCTTTGAGGGTTGGGTGAGTATAACTTTTTACTTTTATCACCTAGACAAAAACGAGCACTTAACCCTTGCAGTGTGGGGCCAGCCCCACTGCAAGGGGAAAGAACAGTTTTGCCCAGAGTTTTTTTTTTTTTATTGTTCTCAGTGTGCTAACAAACAATGGCACTTCACTGCCAAAGACTGAAAAAGCTTTGTCTTATCTGATGAAATGCCTTTTAATGCACGACCACAATGGTAGATTCAAGGCGCTGCATGGGGGTGAACATCAGGGTGAACATCAGGGTGAACTCAAGGCAGCATCTACGGTAGGAAGAATATACTCACCAACCTTTAGCAGCTATGCATTAAAAGAGAACTATGGGGTAAGTGTTTTTCCCCATAGTTCTCTTAAGGGCCATGGGAGCACCCTCCCATAACCCAAAGCTCAGTATATCGCAAGCTACAGCTCGCGGTATACTGAGACAGGCGCAGCCGGGACTGATCCCGACAATGCTGTCGAGATCCACCCAGCTGTGTGAATGACAGCTGGCTCTGCCTATCGTGAGGCCAGCTATTGCCCGCCCCCTCCACCGTCCATTCCTCCAGTCAGCGCTGGAGGATCGGAGAGGGGAGGGGGGAATCCCTGTGGGGAGTGGTGACTGACAGGGAGATGATCGAGAAGTGAGCGACGGTATACGTTTGCTCACTTCCCGATCTATTTAGCCGACGTGTGACAGTTTAATTGTCACGCGTCGGCTCGAACTATGAGGTTTAGTGAAAATCACTCACCTCATAGTTCTCCATTAATCATATGTCTACGTGGTTGTTTTAACCCAGACACTACAAAATCCCTGTGTGTTATTAGGACCAATGGTACTGCAATAAAGGGGTTTATATTCTTTAAAGCGGACCTTTACCCATGTCTTTAAAAGAACACCAAACACACCTTTAGAAATGTTTAGTCATGACAATCTACAAACACATCCTTCTAGATAATTGTCGGCTTTGTATTCTTTGCATTCCTTTATTTTTATTTTCTTCCCAGCAATGCTCTGCTGATGACAAGGCAATCCCAGTGTGCATTGCTTTGACAAGCTGAAGTCATTTTGCCCTTTCAAAGCAGGAAGTGAATGCTCTGCAAGAGTATTTCATAATCACAGCATTTTAGACCTGACATGTCTATGTTATTATTAATCATCATACATAGAGGGATGCATTGGTAGAATTTGATTTTTGAGTGTAAAGGTCCGCTTTATGCACTAAGTTTATAATTATCTCTGCTTAAAAATATACAGTCTTTTAATGGATAATGGATATACGTGTTTATTAGAAAAACAGAATTCAAACAGGCAAAAATGATGTTCTGAGACCTTACTGAGAACCACATGTGGCTCCTGAGTCCTGTTTAAGGACCATTGCTTTACATATCATTTATTATATTCGTTTCTATAAAACTAATATATTCCTCACTGTTTTACAGAAATTTTAATAATACTTCTATAACATAACATTTTACCTTTAGCAAATTATGCGTGGCCATTTTATGGAACTGGCTTTTTAACTACCATTTCAAACTTCAAATGAAGGGATGTCTACAGTCCCTGTTTAATCTTGTAGTGGGTTAAAGAGGTGTTTCTACTGCCTCCTCTCTAACCTCAGCCTTTCTCAGGGGATTAACGTTCCAGTTCCACGATCCTTTGCACACAATGGTGTCATTAAATGAATATTTGCTTCTGCATTAATGTCCATGATAAAAAATCAAATAAAGTTTCATGGAGCGTAGGAAAGATTCCGTCGGGAAGCTGACCTGTTGAGATGTGGGCTCGTGAAATGGCAGCTTGTAGCATTGCCATAGGGATCGTGCATTCACTCCCCTCAGTAATTTGTTATAAAGTCTTCTGGGGTCAACGCTCTGCGACAGCTCCATCTATCAAATATGTGTCCCTGCTACCCAGCCAGCTATAATTTAGACATATGCACAAAGGTTGCTGCCTTTTACATCTTTATAGTGACTGCACTGATACTGTAACCACTGATACTGTTCCTGATTTCTTTCTATTGTAGTCACATGCGTGTGTACTTAAAATGGCGACCGCCATTTTGTGCTCTACAAGTGACCTTGTGGAAACAAGTTTTCACCTGAAGCAGCCTGTAAAAGATGATGTTGAAAATGTAACTGTTGGTAGGTGGAAAGTCAAATGTTTGTTTTCTTCAAAAGATACTGGCTCCAATATTTCAAGGGGTGTCCCATAGCAAGTCCTTCCCTAGGCTCTATGGTTCCTTGTGCCAGCTTTGTTACTACAGAACACTGTAGGGGTAGGCACATAGCATTTGGTAAAAGGACCCACACCGCCCAGTGGGGGCCCAATATCTAATGCACCTGGAAGTGTCAGATAGCAGAAGTGCCAGTATCTCTTGATGCAAACAAATGTTTTACATGCAACTTCTGTCCACGTACGTTTTCAAGTACAACATCTAAGGACTAGTAAACTGTAACATATTACAGTTTTGTTTCTGGGACTAGATACACTTTAATATAAGTAGGAATGGTAGTAATGACTGAAACAAGTTTTCTTTAGTAATTTTTGTTCATATTTATGAGTTAAATGGGAAATCTAATTCTAACCCTAAAAAATGAATATAGACCAAAATGTATCAAAACATCAAGTTAAAAAACATGACTCTCAAAAAACGTTTTGGCTCTCAAAAAGCATCCTTTGCTTACTTTTTATTTAACTATTTAAACATTCATAGTCCCACATATTCACTGAAGTACAGTAAAAATAAGCCAATAACGCGTCCACATAATATAAGGACCTGGGCTAGTCTTTTAGAAGAGGCCTGCAAGAAACTTTTATGGGCTCAGAGTGATATGATAAAATGGTGCATCATTGCTCTTAGCACCTCTGTAGTACGTACCAGGCAAGTCTGAGGTGTGAAAAGGGAAAGACACTTGAGGTACGGTGAGAAGATGACACTTTTACCTCTTAAGATTCAGAAGAATTTTATTTCCACCTGTCATCTTCACCTTGCATTACATTATTCAAGACAATGGACTTCCTGCATGCATATAAGGAACAGGTCAAAGCTATTTCCAGTCTATTCTGTTTTTCCCCCCACAGATACAGTATGATTATTTAGTAATGAGCACTCTGTAGCACCTATAGCAGCCAATCAGAATCCATCTTGTGCTGGTATAACTTACCCTAAGTCTTTTGCTCCTTGAAAGGAAAACAAATTAAAACATAAAAAAAATATTGAAGGATTCATTTTCAGTTATCTAGCCCTCTTTGCTCTTATCATGGAGGACAGCCTTTGTGTTGTAGATGTCTGAGAGTAGGAGTGGTTTAGCAAAAGACACTTGATAGGGCTGACACTCAGTCCACACAAATGCTGTGTGTTATCAGCTCACAACGGAGTGCATTTCTGGCAGATTAGAAGGTATTTTTCCATGCAGGGTTTTAAAGGGATATCCATGGGGGAATGTGCATGTATTGCATAGATACAGTATATGTTTTTTTTGTCAGTTTATGCTGACATACACCTTAAGGCCTGCCTGTCCAAGATGGGCAGATCGTACGTTTTTTTAATTACTTTACAACCCTCGCAAGACAAAAGTCTTGCGAGGGTTGTGCAGTGTATGGCCACCTTTAGTCCACTCAGGATAAACTGAACTTTCCGTTTTAATTAGCTGAATACATTTCAGGTGCATCAAAACAAAAAGTGAGCAACTTCTTAAGCTGGCCATACACCTATAGATTATCTGCAGATTTTATATGGTCAGACGGAAAACGTTCAACAGATTCCTACATCTACGCTAAACTGTGTGCATGGAGGAATCTCCCACCGGGCCGAGCTTCAGTATCTAGTTAGTCGGCCCCGCTGGCTCTCAAAATACCTGAACAATCTGATTGGACGCAGGCATTGTTCAGGTGGTTTGAGAGCCAGCGGGGCCGACTAAGATACTGAAGCTTGGCCCAGCGGGAGTTTCCTAGATCCACACAGTTTAGCTTAGATAGAGGATTCTGTTGCACTTTTTCCATCTGACCATAGAAAATCTGCAGAAACTCTATAGGTGTATGGCCAGCTTTACAGTTCACGTTCATTAGCAAATAGGCACAGTCTGAGTGGATCTATCCCCTGCAAGCATACTGCAGAGAAGATCCCTTGCTCTCTGTGTGCAAGCAGTGGTCTCTCTGCAAAGGTCTGACACAGTACCCGCTAAGTCAGAGCCAGTGCCCTATGATCAGCGAGGAGCATGAGATTTGTTAATTGAAGTGCTATAGGTCTGACTCAACAAGTGGACATGTCAGACCTCTGCAAAGAGAACACTGTTTCTACACAGAGAGCAAGGGCCCTTTTGTGCAGCATGTTGGCAGGGGACAGGCTTTTTAACTTAGGCTGTGGCTTCTTTCTAAAAATAAAACTTTGCACATCTTTTGTTTTGATGTGACTTTTAATGCATTCATTTTGGTGGATGCAGGAAATCTGAAACACCAAACAGTTCCTTCTATTACTGAGGCTTTATTTATTTTTTTTAAACATGCAGAATGCATCAGAAGAAGTGGGAAAACCAAACAATGGTGGGGAACAGAGCTAGGAACTATGGAAAGTAGATATCACCACTGTGCACTCTAAAATATATGAGGTAAGGGGATGTGTCAGCCCAGCAAGCACCACCTATAACTGGACTGGACTGGCCCTTAAAGCAAACTTTGGAGTGCTTACTCCTTGTAACTACTCACCCCAGAGGAAGGAGTTGCCGTCCAGCCTAGCTCTGCTGTAGCCGTTCGTGTGTCCATTAAGGTCTCTGCAAGGAAGAAAGAACATTCAGTTATTGGGAGTTGTGACACATTGGCAGTCTGTACTATTGGGAGTTTTAACACATTCGCAGTCTGTCCTACTGGGAGTTAGGACACACAGGCAGTCTGTCCTATTGGGAGTTCTGACACACGGGCAGGCTGCCCTATTGGGTGTTAAGGCACACAGGCACACTGGCCTATTGGGAGTTACGATACACAGGCACAGTGCCCTATTGGGAGTTACAACACACAGGCATAGTGCCCTATTGGGTGTTAAGGCACACAGGCACACTGGCCTAGTGGGAGTTACGACACACAGGCACACTGGCCTATTGGGAGTTACGATACACAGGCACAGTGCACTATTGGGAGTTACAACACACAGGCACAGTGCCCTATTGAGAGTTAAGACACAGGAACAGTGCCCTATTGGTAGTTAAGACACAGGCACAGTGCCCTATTGGGAGTTAAGACACACAGGCACACTGGCCTATTGGGAATGCACCTATGATTTATCAGTTTAATTCCAGACAATATAACCCAGAATAAAAAAAGTGATTTCTGTGTCATTAGCCAATCTACATTTTATTTTCACACAAACTGCATTTTTTCCATTGTGGTGGCCTCTTATTTCTACTTTAATGTCTTGTGCAGCAGCAGATCTTTGTTTTGTCAAACAATCTAATTATATTATGCAGAAATAAATGACTACTAAATATGAAGAAAACGTACTACTTGTGCCATTGACACCAGGTTACTCAAGCAATATCTGTTTAAAATTCACTAAATATAGACAATTAGCACTGTAATTGAAAGCACAGAGGTTGATCAGCAAATCTGATAGAGCCAGCACTTGACGCCCTCACCAAACGTGTCTGTAACAGTTTCCCTATTAGAGAGCATATCATGTTTAGGTACACAACATACTGTACACAGCTACCTTTATTGTGGGAAACCTGTGCTCCTGGTTCCAGTTCATTTAAAGCTGAACTATAGACAAAGAATTTGTAGTTCTGTCCAGCTAGTTCTGAGATTAACACAGCCAAGCCAAGCAATATAGCCAGCCCGGTGACCTTTTCTCTCCAGCAATTAAACAACACAGTCTGGTCACTTCACTACCCCCAGCCTCTGATTGGAAAGCGAAAGAGCACCAACAGATTAATAAGATTATCCCTCTGCTCTTTCCACGTGTCAGTTTGTTCCCTGTCAGTACAAGTAATTGAAGGACACCTAATTGTTCTCAGCACTGTCTTTTCCACTACCAGTCTAAGTGCCTCTATACAGGAGGTTACAAAAGGCTGAAACCAAGTAAAATTTAGGTATTACACTAGTTGCTTTTAAAATATAGTATTTTAAAAAAAATAATAATAATATAACTGCATTTATTGGAGTTTCTTTGCTCCTTACACTTTTTATTGAAGCAGTCAGTTTTGTCTCCAGTGTATTTTTAACAAAGTCTTAGGCTGCGTTCACACCTGACCGCTTTGTAGCGTGTCCTACGCTCGACGAACGCTCTACAAAACGGTCAAAAAAATAAATAGCATTGTAGTCAATGCCCTCGTTCCCACCTAGGCGTATTTCCGCCCGTTCCTAACGCCCTACAAAACGGCCCACGCCTGAAAAGGTCCCGGGACTACTTTGGGTCGTTTTGTAGGGCGTTTTCCATTTGGATACTGCCAAAGTACCTTTGGAATCGCACGACGGTCGCGCGACTTTTTCCCCGCGAATCGCGGTAAAAAAACGCGTGACGGTCGCGCGACAGACGCGCATATTACAATACGCCTAGGTGTGAATGGGGCCTTAAAGCATGTAAAAATAAGTAAAATACTATACTGCCCAGCCACAAAAAAGCAGCCACCTGGATTTCAGGCAGTGTTATGATCTGGGGTTGCTTCAGGTGGTCAGGTCTAAGTTCAGCAACGTTATGTGCCCACAAAATGAGGTCAGCTGCCTACCAGAATATACTGAATGACCAGGTTTTTACATCAATGGCTTTTTTCTTCTCTGTTGGCACATTGGGCATATTCCCAGATGACAATGCCAGGATTCATCGGGCTAAGATTGGGAAAGAGTGGTTCAGGAAGTATGAGACATCATTTTCCCACATTTGACTACCACCGAGTCTAGACCTTAACCTCATTGTAAAGTCCAGACCTTAACCCCAGTGCTCCGACTGTCCCATCATCACTACAAGATCTTGGTAAAAAATCAATGCAAACAATGAGGAGAAAAAGTCCAATGAAGAAAAAAAGGGACTTCACTCAAAATAGGGAGGATGTATACAACACCCCGTTATAACAAAAAATTAGAGGAATAAACCAGGGGGGGAATCCCCAGCAACCACTTCCTAAAGAGGAAGAGTAGACATTCAGAGAAAGAGGAGCAGGAAAGGGGGTCAGAGATGGAGGGAAACAGGGGGAACCTCCCCCACTGAACCATCCACCGGAGATCCCCCCCAGGGACATAACCTAGTAGAACAAAAGGCAAAGAGTAGCAAACCTCAAATTACACAGAGAAAACTAAGAATAAATATGTGTTTTAACTTTGTATGTAGCTGTTTATAGGAAGTTCTTTAAGCTAGGTTCATACCAGGGTGATCCGTGACAGCGCGGCAATTATGCACAAAACTGTGCGGATTGCCACCACAGCCGATTGTGCTGGCGGTGCCATGGTTTTCTAATGGCACCCCAGTCGTGTCGGCCGGATCACACGGTTTCCCGCACAGGCCTCGCGTCGTGTGTCACGAAAAAGGTACTTTTTTTAGCGATTGCAGCGTAATCCCATTGAAGTCATTGGGGCCGCGCATCAACCACTGTGTGCACTATCACACGATTGCGCGGTCCCGAGACGTGTGTCCCGGGTATCGCTCAGGACTCAACCTAGCCTTAAACTAAAAAGCCTTAGTCATTGACTTCCAAAGTCAATTACTGTCTTCCATAAATACAGTATTTTATTATTAATAAATTAGCCGGGACTGGTGGACATCAAACGGCTTGTAAATATGTCCCCTTCAGACAGGTGGCCACTATACTTTATGGTCTTCCAGTAAAGTACTACACTACAATTTTACTGGAACATCAGACTGCAAATTAACTGATTGGGTGGATAGCTTCTCTAAGGTTAAAGGTGGAAGGTAGCATTTCATAGAAATTATTTATACCTCTTGTCTTGGTACAGAAAAAAATAAAGCAGAAATCATTATTTTGGGGGAGTCTGTGAAAAGGGCAGGGCCCATCTTAAATATAATCACAATGTTTTATTATTTAGTCTTATATGTCAGGCAGTCTTAGTTGCAGGAGGTCACAAAAATGGACCGGAGATGTCAGCTTTGATGCACTGATAATGTAGGAACAGGCTGAGTTATGGATTTCGATTATGGCTGGCGAGGAACAGAGAATTATGGTTCAGTGACTCCCATTTCATTATCACTCCGCACATCACTAACTCCACTCTCTTCTCTTTCCATCACTAGGGATGAACCATATCGCTCCAATGAGGTCCGTATGAACTATTATCTCAATATAGCCACTTACTGCACATCGGCTTCTTCTAAAAAAATAATCATCACCTCTAATATATCTAAGCTGAAGTGTTTTTTAAAGTGTTAACTCTTTCTATTTTCTTTGTATTGCTGCATAACTTTCTGCATTTTTTCTCTGTGATATAGACGAAGCACATCTTCATGAAACAATAATATTTAACTGTTATGTTGTTCTTCATAACATGTACATTAAAACCTGTTTGCTTTTTCTTAACACTACATGCCTTCGGTGAAGTGTCTAGATGCATGTACAGAAAGAAATGTGCTAAAGGGAAGAGTAGATGACAAAGCTAGAAAATATGTTCTGGAATCGCTTCAGATGTCCACATTCCCTGCTCACCCCTGCAAACCAAGGATGAGTTAGCCTCAGGGACACCCCCATCAAAAGGAGTGCAAGGGGAGCTTTCCTTAATGTACACTTTGTATGCAGATACATTATTTCCATGCCGGCTTTATTAGGAAACAGAATGAAAATGTGGGTAAGCACTAGGGATGTCCAGATACCAGTTTGTAGGTAGGTGCAGTACGGCCAATGACCACTAGATGCCCCCATGGGGCCCTAGAGATAGATGTAGCTCTGGCCTGGGGAGACTCTGTGTCCCAGGAGAGCTGATTTATAGGGGGTGCCCGAGAGGGGAAAGGAGAAGAGAGTACAGGAGAGCAGAAGTCTAAGACTGTATGCAGAGTCTCCGGAGGGAGACTGATTCTAAAACATAAGCTGGTCCATGGGAAGGACAGGACCAGGCCTAGGACTATGTAGAGCCATAGAGATTCCCCAGTTTCCCCTGGAGGGGGAAACCACCGAGCTAGGACTGACAAGGATGGGTTTCCGGAGAATAGTGAGAAGCTGTAGAACTGACGATATTTGCCGGTGGGCCTCTGGCCGAAGTAAGTCGTGGACTCTGGGCTGCACCTGGGCTGTTCTTCTCTCTCTCTAATCTGTATCACTATGCAACTATCAAGAGATGTGCCGTCATCCCACTCGGGGGTGGCTGAAACATATACTTTATTGTCATGTTCATCCTTTTCAAGTAAAACCAAGAAAAGACTATCTGTGTGGACTGGTTCTTCTCCCTCCAACATCTGAGAAGGTGGGGTTCTACAGGAGTGTGATGTTGGACTGTATCGTGGCTCTAACCACCCGGAGGAGGGTAGGTGTGCAAAGGGGCTATGCCCGACACAGGGTGCCGCTCATGGTGGCCTTTCTCCCTAAGGGTGAGGAAGCGCCGAATACCGCAGAGGCGGTGGAAGCCATGAGGCCCTGTGTACGCAGTACTACACGTGTGGGAGTGTTTGCACGAGGCCAGAGCTGAGGCCCCTGACCGTGGGGTGCCTGGTGTCGAGTTGCATGCACGGGGTTACACAGAGCCAACCCAAAGGGAACACACACGCAACACCCCAGGAGTGAACCCCGCCTACAAGTTCAGATACCAATGCCTATACTTGGCATTTTCATGAGAACTAACG